CATTTCACTTGGCAAAGACCTTTAAGATCGAGTCCAACCATTAACCCAGCACTGCCAAGCCCACCACTAAACCAGGTCCCTAAGTGCCACATCTATACATCTTTTAAATGCCTCCAGGCATGGTGACTCCACCACTTCCCTTGGTAGCCTGTTCCAGTGCTTGACAACCCTTTCAGTGAAGAAATCTTTTCCAACATCCTATTTAAACTTCCTCTGGCAAAGAGAAGGCAAATCCATTCAACTTTGCTCCTTGTGGGTTTGGGTTATGAAAATTTATATTGGCCAACACATGCCACTTGAGGTACCTGTTGGTGCTCACTCTGTGCACAGAGGAAGGTGGTGTCTGTTCAACAAGGGCAGTCTCTGTTGCAAATGCAGTGTTTCAAGAGTGACATTTTTGGTGGTTCTCTTAGTAAGGGGGCAGCTCATCATCTCAGCAAATCCTAGCAGAAAGGAGCTCACATGAGTAATCCTATCTGCAAAAGGAGGGGCAGAACCACACTACGAAACAGAAGAGCGAGGGTTTTTCCCATAGAAATGCAGTTCCTGATTCCGATGTGCTGCAAAGGCTGCTCAGGCAATGGAAGGTGGCCTGTCGTGGAGTGAGTGTTGCCAGCTGGTGCCTTGCTGCTGTTGTTGCCCGAGTGCGTGTGCGTACCCCGCTCAAGCATATCCTGCTTGGCTCCCCTTAGCAACTCACCAATTTTACATGTCTAGTTCTAGCCAGAAAGTGGGTGGAAATGGAAACAAACATCAGTGGCATAGTGAATCCAGCCAAAATTAAATGCAGTACAGACACAGACTGCAATTGCATGACATTCATCTTTCAGTTTGGGTTTGCTCACCTCTCTTTTCTGTGGGAACGCTGAAGTCAGGTTTCTCCTGCAGAAGCATCCTTGAGACATGGGGAATGGATTCGTGTAAAACAGTTCAGCGATCTCTTCCCCCAAATAATTCTTGGCTTTGGATTTTAGATAGACCACAAACCCTTAGCTTATTACAAATAATCCTGATCACTCCCGTAATGATACACTACATTATATACTCTCCTAAATTTAATCATTCAATATCTCACTTCCTTCCCTGTAGGCATGTACTATTATATTTTACACATGGCTTCCAGCTGGTTTTCATTGTGGCCTTCAAATCATATTTCAGTGCAGTGCGATCTAAGACCAGTCACTTTATCATTTAAAGTCAACTTCCATCACAGTCATTTTCTTACAAGTTTTTTACCAGGACAGGTTAATTTGTTAGAAAAAAATGGGTTTGTGTGTGAGGTGAAAGTCTACCTGAATGAACCTTCATGAAGCAGCATCTTCCAAAGCTGCTCTGTTCTGAAATGCTGAGTTGGCAGACGCACCTATAGAGTTTAAAAATCAAATCTGTTGAAGGGGTGGAAAAAATAAGTCCTGTGGGCATGGAAGGAAATCTGTATCTTCACATTTGATTTGAAAGTAGATGGGGAAGGGAAGTCAGCTCCAGATGGTAGTGGATGTGGAGGAGGAGGAGGCTGCCCCACTTGTGGCTGGGGAGAGGTGGGGAAGGGCATGGGGGATTTCCTTTCCTGGGAAAAGGAAAGCTGAGCATGGCCATTGTTTTTGTCCCTTCTCTCAGAAGCCCAGCATATACATGGTGGTAGGTCAGACCACTGTTGGGGGTTTACCTGCACTGGAAAATGCGCTGCACCCTGTACTTTGTCACAGAAGATCAGTGATGGTTCCTTCTTCAGAGCAGCACCAACCCTAACACCAAGGTGTTACGGCAGGGTGTGCACAGCAGTGCGTGAAGCCAGTTGAAATTTTACCCGTGGGTTTAAGAGCTTAATAATGACCCAAGATCTGAAAATCTGGAACTGCCAAAAATGGTCCATTTCCTCAGTGAGGCTGTGACGTGCAGAACCAGACATGAAGTAAGCAAATCACCCAAACTGATCAGCATGCTTTACAAATGTAGTTTAAAACAAATATTTAACAAAAAGGTAATTTAGATTTCATATTGTACTGTGTGCCCCAGCAGTTGATCTGGTTTGCATAGAAAAGCATTCTCTTTTGTGTTAAATAGTCCATATTGTCAGAAGGAATTGCAAAACTGACCACAGCCTAAACCTGAAGGAAATTCTGTGCATTTATCCACCTCTCTGTATATGGGTAAACTTGTGTCACTGAAAAATGTAGCGTGGCTGAAATCCTTTGTTAATGCCACTGGCAATCCAGAGCAAAGCCCCCAGAAGCTAGCAAAATAATGAGATTTATCTGTTACAAGAACATCGAGCATCTTTAGGCTTTTTCATTACTTAGGATAACAGTAAGCGAAATAAAATCCAACCTTTTTCTAATATTTTGCACTGATAACCCCTGGGTTACGTGTTTTCTCTTCTGGAGAGGGTAGAGAGGTCACTCCAGAAAAGGAAGGGTTAATTGAAATAATTCTTTTCCTCCCGCTCTCAGCCCTCTCTTTGGTTGATTGCTTTATAGATGCTGTAGGCATCTCTTCATCTCCTTCAAATTAAACATTTTACTGCTGCTGATCCTGTATTGTTGGATTTTTTCATCATTATATTTGATTGGAAGTCTTGTAACATTTTTCAAGCTGGATTGTTTCTCATGCTATTTGTCAACTGAAAAGAGAAAAAAGCCCCCTTCCAAGTCCAACAAGAACGAACTGAGTAATTCTCACCCTTTCTGGATGTGTTTCTATCTCTGTTACTGCTACTTGAATCCAGCTTCTGATTAGCAATGCTCCTTTGCAGCTTTTTGTGTGACGCTGTCTGTAAGTTCCCTGGCAGTTTATTTGTAGTGCTAAATCCTTTTGATTTTGGCTGCTCTGGGTCTTACAGTGTCAGGAGCCAGGGCCAGAAGGCACTACAGGGGAGATAAGTAGGTAGGGTCTGTGTGACAAATTTATGAGGCTGGGTCCTTGGCTAGTGTCAGCAATCCTGGCTGCGCTGCTTTCAGTGCTCCCTGCTGACGTAGGTATGGATCTCACCCTTGTCTGTAACCTCTCTATTTGGGAACGTCAGTCCTTCTCTTTGAAAACAATCCATAGACAAAAAAGAAATCCTCCAAGAGCCAGCTGAGTGATTCCATGCATTGGAACATTATGCTCTTTTATTACAAGAGATGTAATAAAACATAAACCAGATTATCTGTCATTTCCATTTGAGTTTCTCCTTTCCCCTGCTCCTTGGTTAGCCCCATTTCTACGACACCCTGAGCATTTACGTGCTTGGGAGGAAAATGTATGTATTGGCACTGAAACAGGTTTGCAGTGTTTCTGCCCACGAGCGGCTCTTGCCCGCAGTGTGGCAAGCTCTGCCTGTCACCAGTGGGACACCTGCTCTTAGCTGCTCATTGAGGCACCAATGAGGGACGTGGTGCTGTGTCCTGCCTCTGTGCTCGGTGGAGCTGCAGCCCCCCAGGGCTGGCCGAGTGCCACCAGGTGCAGCAGGGGAAGGGCAGTGCCCTGGCCAGGCTGTCACAGCCTCTCCTCCAGGCTCAGCTCCCTGGCCACATGTGCGGTGGGCAGTGGCTGGGGACTGCGAGCTGCTCTTCAGAAGCCATGCCTGGAGGTCGCTGATGTTACAAATTACTGTGGCACCAACGTTTGATGAAGGAAATTAATCAGGGGCTCTTTGCCATAGAGCCTTTTTATTTATTTGCATAACGGGCTGATATTCCACAGCGGACTTCCCACTTGCAGTAATAACTTGACTAGTGTAGCATTTTACTGGTGGCTCAGTACGTGTGTAAAATTCAGTGCAAGTTCTCAGCACGTTTCCATTGTTTATCCTTATTTTTTCCCTTTAGAGAGCTTTAATGTAGGGTTGATTTTCTGGATGGTACACTTTGCAGCAAAGACATTTTCTTCTTGGTTGAAGAGCCAGAATTCCCTCTTATTTGTGGAAGAAAATAGTTATCCATATTGATTTTGTTAGCTCTGAGTGTTGAGTTCTAATAATTATTTCCCCGCATCTGAAAAAACCTCTGGGCAAATCCAGCCCTCAATCCTGTAGGGGATTTTTTCCGTTAATCTCTCTTGTATAGATTTGGTTTTAAAGAAAGCATGTGGAACTCCTCTGTGTTTTGCACAATTCAGAGCAGGTATTTTTTTTCCTTGGAATAAGGGCTGCACAAGGACCTTTTTAGTCATTTTAAGTGGCTGTTAGGAAGATTAAGAGCTACATATGCTTTCTTTAAACTTGCCGAAAAGGAGATACTGCTGGTGAAAATCTGTTACAAGACTGCAAAGCGTGTTTGCCCAGAGGGTTTCTCAGAATGGAGGGCTATAATTATTTGAACTCAGAACTCCTCAACTGGTGAAATTGCTACAGATGTAATACAGAGAAATCTGTTCAGGAGACACATTAAAGCCACCTATGTGAAGCTACTATGCTGTCACTCTTCATAGATGGGAAATGTTAACAAATCTCTGCACTTCCATTATTTTTTTTTCCATAAAGCAGCTGTGATGGATTTTAATGCCAAATCATTATTCATGATAAAGTAGCACCTGACAATCCCATGTATGTCTAGGCCTTTGTGGTACTTGGCATTTTGAAGAAATGATGAGAGTTTCTAGCCTAAAAAGACAAGAGGAATCAAGGAGGGGGAGAAGAGGAACAAAGCAGGAGAATGACTTGTCTGAGATGGGACAACTGGCCAGTCATCCTGACCATGAGACTGTAACACCTTTTGACTTAACTTTTATTCTGGCTATTTTATATTTCTTTTTATTACTTGCATTTTGTATTTCTTACTTATTTTGTGGCTTTATATTTATTTGATATCTTTTGCCTTTTATATTGCTTTCTCCTTTCAGTCTATAGTTACCGGTGCAGCTGTCTTCAAAGGTAGAAAGGTAGTGGAGAAAGGATATTAATTGTGCTTTTCCTCACCAAAACAAAATAGACCCTGTGTAAAGGCCTGTACAAGTGTCCTTATCTCGAGCACCAAGGGGGTCAGCATGTACGTGAAGTCTGTGTCTGTTTGATCTTATAGGTGCTGCACAGACAGCAGTCCCAGCCTGCAAAGGAGAATTCCCCACCTAGAGAAGAGGCTCCTCCTCCACCTGCCGAGGACAGTTGTGCCAAAAAGCCAAGATCCCGCACCAAGATCTCCTTGGAAGCTCTAGGTATCCTTCAAAGCTTTATTCATGACGTGGGTCTCTACCCTGATCAGGAAGCCATCCACACCCTCTCTGCTCAGCTGGATCTCCCCAAACACACCATCATCAAATTCTTCCAGAACCAACGTTACCACGTAAAGCACCACGGGAAGCTAAAAGAGCATTTGGGAACAGTGGTTGACGTGGCAGAGTACAAGGATGAGGAGCTGCTGACAGAGTCAGAGGAGAACGACAGCGAGGAAGGCTCTGAGGAAATGTACAAAGTAGAGCCTGAGGAGGAGAACCCCGACAAAAGCAAGGCGGCTCCAGCGGACATCGACCAGAGATAATGTGAGACAGGGGCGCAGAAAGCAATACATTGATCCAAGGATTTTCTGGGTTTATTTTTGATTTTTTTTTCTCTTTTTACCTTTTGTTTGTTTGTTTCCGTTGCGCATGATCCATGTGCAAACCGAATGAATTCAGCATTGCCCGATCAGACATTGCCTTGACACAGACACTCGAGTGTTACACTTCCTACATTTGACTGAAGCAATTGTTGTAGTCACATAGGATTATGCCTTCATCAATCTTGCACTTATGAAAGGGACATCTAGCAAGTAAATGGGAAGAAAAAGTCCTATGAAATTAATGAAGGAAAATTTACAACTTTGTGTGTGTATATATATATTTACATAAAATATATATATATTAAAATTGCATGGGACGGAACTTTACAACCTAAAAGTATAGACTGTGAAATGAGTTCTTTAAAGATGAGACTTGTTTATGTATTAAAACCACTTCACAATGAGTTGCTTTGGCTTTTTGATAAACTGCCGCCTGCTCTCAGGGTGTGGTGACTATTTTTGAATTCCTATTTATTTTCTATGTTTATCCCTGATTTTTTTTTTCATTATTATATGGCTTCCTATCTGGCAACTTGATGGGTAATTTTTGAGGTATTTAAAGACGTAAATCAACACTGCCAAAAAAAGAAAAGAGGAAAAAAAAGAGAGAAAATGGAAAAACAAATCAGGGCACCTTAAAAAGAAAACTAGTAAGTTAAAAGTACTTTGAACACAATGCACACTTAAAAGGATACAGCATGTTCCACTCTCCAGATAGTCCTTTCTGTAGTGAACAGATGAGTTTTCATGGGATTCAGAATAGCTGAAACTGAAATTCAGTGCATAGAAGACTTGTCCGTTAACAAAGTCTTTATAGAAAGAGAAAAGAGATAAATGTGTTGAGATTTCATGTATGGAATTCATACTATCAACCACATTTTACAGCGGATTTTATTTACCTGTTCTCTGTTTCAGATCTTGAAATTTATAAGCTTCCTTCTTGTCAATGCTTTTTGTTTATACTGAAGTGAAAAACACACACGTTAAGTTGCATTGCGACACAAAATGCCACAATCCTGAGAATCCTGTCCAGGTAAATTGCAGACAGACCGAGGGTTTACAGCGCTGACACCCTGTTGCTGACACCCCATTCGCCCTCCTCGCCAGCCTCCCCCGTGTTTCTGTTTTAGCTGGGCTTCCTCTCTGTCACGTGTTTTGTGCCAGTGAAATGAAGTGTTTTCAGCCGCAGGTCCCACCTCCCCACGGCACGGGCACTTCCCAGCCTCCCGAGGCACGGGCACTTCCCAGCCTCCCGCCAGGCCCTGCACACCCCCCCGCCCACCTCCCGGGCCGAGGGTCCCGCGGTGACCCGGTAGCAGCCACGTTACATAAAGCAGAGCTAACACTGACTGACTCTCCAGTGGCGTGAGCACTAAAGCTGCAATCTACTATAGCATCCACCCGCTCTGAGGCATCATGTCGAAAGAGACACCAAGTAGCATTTACTTTTCACTTCTGTGCAATGATTTCCGAGACAGAGACCTCACCTTGCAGCTGGATTGATTTCAGACGCCTGTTCAAACTGCAGCCGTAACACTACAAACGAGGCTTCTGGCTTTTTTCTTCCTTTTTTTTTCACATGGGCTTTTCACGTAACCTTGACAAAGACCTCATGCAATATACCTTTGAAAGTTACTTTCTGTTTACTACACCAGGCAATGTAATATAACTGTTAATACTATTTATATATTTGAAAGGTATAAAAGGTAGGAGTTAAAAACGAAAAACAAACCTCTACGTGTAGATATTTACTCAGAACAGACAATATACAGGGAGAAGACGTTGCAATACAAGCTAATTCTAGCTGCTCAGTAACCTCTGGAGTTTTTATGAGATTTTTTCAGAGCTAATGTTTGAAACATGAGTATCTCTGCATAAATTTCATATACCTTTGCAAATTATGGTGGGTTGCTTACTTAATGCCCCTTTTGCTCTTCATCCTTTAGTTCTGTAGTATGCTGCAGCTTTAATCAGAATTTCAGTGGTTGCTGCTTTATGTTTCTCTCAGAGCTACGCTTTCAAAACTGTCTTCTTATCCTGTAGCTGAAATCACTCCATGCATTTGAAAGGAAACTGAATTTTGCCAAGCTAAGTAAGGTTGTTCATCTGATGATGGCATCAACATTTGGTATCTTTTACACTTCAACCAAAAATTTTATTAGGTATTTTTTCAATGCTGAGTCTTGCCTTTTTATTTTTAATTTCACTGCCAATTTTGCAGTGGTTCTAAGTGAATCTGTGGGCATTTTAGCCTGTGGTCTTGCCAGAACTTTGCGAATTACAATGCATATATGTCTATTTATTCAATATCCATCATATAATATCTATTTGGAGAAAGAAAATTTTCTTGTAGTGCCTCTTAACAAAGCACAATTTTCCGCCTTTTTTGTGAAATAAAAAATAAAAAAAACAAATTGTGTTTTATTGCGGTATCAACAATGTGAATAAGGATTAACATATTGTAAATGTTCTTTTTTCCATGTAAATCAACTTTATCTTCGTTATCACTAAGTGATAATTAATTTTTAACTTATGTGCATTGTTAGGCTGTTAGAATTTTTTGGTTGTTGAAATAAAACGCATTCAATAAATATGACTTAATTTGTCAAGTAATTTACTGGGCCTTTTTTCTTTTCTGCCGAGTTCAAGGGGAGCAAGGTCTGCAAAATGGAGGGGGCGTATTTGCCTGTTGAAATAAGAGTTTATTGACCGGTGTTATTGGGGTTTGAAAACCTGCATAAGGCCCCTGGGGTCAGCACAGCTGACAAATCTGTACCCCCCAGGACTGATCTGTTGTGTTACTGGCTTTCTGTGTACATGTATGTGCACACATAGGGAGTCTGTGATGGGATCAGGAGGAGGGTGTGGGTGCCATCAGCCCTTAGGAGAATATACTCAAAACACACACACAAAGATCCACTTCCAGTCTGCTGTCTTCTTTTGCTCGTAGATTTTTTTTCTGTTTATAATTAAAAAGCCACAAATGACTGCGTGTCAGGAAACTTTTGGAGCACACATGTCCATGGTTAATGGACATAATAAAAGGCTTTATTATATTTATAGCAGGGCATCCTACTGAGTGTGTAGAGGAATGCCGGAAGGATTGATGTATCTGAGAAATGTGTGAAATGTTTTTGGGGAGAATACAGATAAATGGAAAAAATTGCTCAAAATTCTTAAGCTAACAAAGTGGTAAGTGTCTGGATTCAATCCTAGCAGACAAATCATATACTGCACATCAGACTTGAGTTGTCTAGGAATTGAGGTAGAGCAATTTTTAAAAGCATTTATTATTTTTTCTATAGTTCCAATGCAATAGTTCCTCCCTTTTTTGTGGCTTATTTATATCCTATATAAAATATCTATGTGCTCTCTTGAGAAAAAAATAAGGAAGAGGGGGGAATAACCACATCTTTGGGTACCCAGCCACCTGCTTGCCACTTGTATTTGATTTGAGACCACATAAAACCAAGCATCTTTCTGTCTGCTCAGGGCACCTGGAAGCTGTGCACAACAGCATTTAGTCGAGTGCTGTTTGCTGGGATGCACAACTGCTCTCCCTATGCTCACCTCTGAGAGGGTCCTGGGCTGCCTGTGCCCCTTCCATGGGGACAGTCAGCTGGCACGGGCACATCTGGTGCCTGGCTGTGGTGCTGCCTCTGCTCTGACCGGTGGGCACAGTTCTGATGCACGAGGCAGGCCGGTCAGCCTGGGGGTCCACTGGTCTTCATGGGCGTGGGAGGTGACAGAGGGCATGAACTGGCCTTCAAAACCACACCTGCACTCCAGGCAGATGCTGTGGAGGTGCTGATGGTGTTGCACAGGGTGTCCTTTCTGCCTGCCAGTAGGGCAAGAAACAAAAGGAGAAGCAGCTCTCAACTTCACTGGTAGAGAATTTTATACATGCACTCTGTGTGTGTGAAGCTAAATAAGATTTAAAAAAAGACACACACACACACACATATTTTAATTGGGGGGTAAAAATCCTATAAACATATGGGTTCTTCTTCCAAACCGTAAAAAACCCCCAACATTTAATAGCTGCTAAAGCAGAAATATTTCTATTAATGCTTCTACTTCTCTATACTTTACATGCTGCTGCTCCTATTTGTTGTTCATGTTTTAGTCATCCAGACATATGTATTTCCAATTTCAAACCTGTGTGAGTGAAAAATAAACATGTTAAGATTAGTTTAAAATGTTTTAAGATTATGAACATATTGACTATTGCCTCAAGTTCATTATTGCTTTGATAAAAGTATCCATCAATCTCTTCCCATTTACTTAGTAACCAATTATTTGTTTTAGACTAAAGGGATTAGAATCCTCACTGATGAAATTTTATTTCTATCCTGAACCCGTTAAACATGGAGGGATAAAGGCTGGATACATTTGACAGTGAGCAAATGGCATCTTAAAATCATAAACGAGTAATTACAAAAAATCTCTACTTACAATATAAAGTGCAGTGATTAATTAAAGATGCACTTTTAACTTATTTATAACCATTAAAAAAACATACTGGTTTTAACACAAAATAACACAAGCCAAGTCATCCAGGGGAGAGACACTGGCAGCCTGAGACTTGAGGAGCAGGCAATATGACAAAGCCAACAGGGAACAGCAAATGCAGGCCTCCCTTGAAACCTTTGGAAAAGTTCACAGAAGCAAGGGTGGAAAGAGGTGGCTCTGGCATCCCTGCCAAGACCCCTTTCATTTTTGCTCACACACAGACAGCTCAGGAGTGTGAAAGCCCCATCTCTCTGTGATGGCAGGAAACCTGTGGGCTGTGGTGCAGGCAGTGGGGAGCTTTGCCAGCTGGGGAGCGTGCTGAGGGTGAGTCAGCCCTACCTCAGGCGAAACGATGATAGTGGTGAGAGAGAGACAGCAGCAGTTCAAGTGCAGATTTCTGCAGGTTTTCCCCTCCTTCTAAAATTTTTGGTTGTTGATGGCCAAATGCTGGTCTTGCTCGACTGGCAGGTGTGGTTTGCTATAGCCAGAGGGAATAAAGGTGGTGGGAGACAAAGTGAGGCTCACCTGCTGAGCTGGTGACTTGTGGCTGCTGTTCCCCAGAAAGTTTGGCTGTGTGGAAGGCTTTCCTGCTGCTGAGCAGCTCGACCCTGCCAGGGGTCCCACACATACCTGGCACACCATTCGCCATCCAGCCCTGCAACTGCTGGCTCTGTCTGCAAGGCAGCACTTGCTCAAGAAAACCATCCCTTCTGTCCCATGATAGTGTTTCAGGAGCTACAGCTGGTTCCTCCTAAGAGGAGTGGTGTAGTTTACCCTTTGGAAGGGATCTGGTCTTGATTTGAAGACCTCAGGAGCTGGAAAATCACTGTTGCCCTCAGTAGTTTGTTTGAATGGTGGTTTCTCTCCCTACTAAATCTGTACCATATTCTAAGGGGAATTTGGCTTTCCCTTCCTGATTTTGTCTTTTCTTAGGCTTTTCTCATCTGAGTGAAAGTTCCAGGTAATTAAGGAAATTTTTTTTAATTAGAAGTAGCTGTTATGATCAAATGAATTTTCTTGAATTGAGGTCTTAGTGTTCAGCTGAGGCTGTTTCAAGGAAAAATCTACTTTGGCT